ATAATATACAATTATATCTATTAAAAAATCCATTATATATATAGAAAACCAACTAAAACATTATATATATAAAAGAATAAAAAATATATTCCATTATTAATGAAAATGAAAATAAAAACTAAAAAAAAAATTCCATTATATCTTTAAAAAAAATACAACTAAAAGAAATTTCATTGTATTATTTAAAAACTAAAAAATATAACTGAAAAATAAAAAATAAAAAACTATAAAAATATTCCAATACATCTATATAAAAAACATTAAAAAGTATTCTGTTACATCTTTAAAAATTATATCTATAACAAAACCATGTGCCCAAAGACGATATATAAGAAAATGGCAGAATCCAGAAAACACAAGAAGCTTGGCATTTCGTATCAACAACTAAACTCATAACAAGTTGAAAACACACAAAAAACAATATTTGTGGGTTTTTTTTTCTCATTTCAAGAAAAAAAAATCCCTACTTTCATAATAGATCAGAAAAATGTGATTTTTCATGTGATTTTCTTTTAAATTGTGCTGTTAGATACTTTTTGAAGGTATGTCTGTACCAGATTTCAAAACTTTTGACCAATCAGGAAAAGTTGTTGTGACATTTCTTCTTATCACACTAAATGTAGTCTTTTGGGCACAAGTGGTTAAACAAGCTGAAAGCAGCAAATGACAAACAACTTATCTACCATTAAAACCCCACAATTTTCTCTCTGACAACGAGCTGTTTTTGCTCAAGTACTGCTCATTGAACGGCTTCTGTGTTGGACTCTGCTGGTGTTTTTCATTGTCCACCCCTGCAGAAAGTGTATGACAGACAGTTATGACTACTCTGACAGTACCTCAGCTTAGATCCTGGACTGCAACACCAGTATTGAGTGCAACAAGATTGGCGTGACCCAGAAGAGAGAACAGCCCTGCAGGCAACACGTGCCGTTTACATTCACTGTTAGAAACTACAGCCTGCTGCCTGACCTCTGGAGCCCTACAGCAACACAAGGATACCCCATGATTTCAACAGAATAAAGGAGGATTTTCTAACCATCTGAAATGTGTTTAAACAATCCCAAAAAGTGCACAGTCATGATCACGAGAGAGAGCATTTCATTTACAAAAAAAGAGGCTTTCACAATGAGGAGTAATTACAGATGGAGGACAAACAACCACTCTCCATCACTCACCCACCCCTTTTTTCCTCTCTTGCTTCAAAAACCACAAATTATGACAACTTAGAGCTTTTTTTTAAAAAACTTCTCTCCCTCACACAGCCACACACACACACACACACACACACACACACACACACACACACACACACACACACACATTCCCCGGTGAACAAAACCCAGCCAGCTGTCTGTAAACACAACATCCATTTTGTGAATCAGCTCCGGCTCAGGCTGCCCATGTCCCTGCAGACGGAGCTGTAAAACCAACGGGTCAAGCAACAGTCTCACATCAGACAGCAGCCGCCACAGTGAGACATGAAGCCATTATCAGACACTAATCCGTGACAAGTCCCAGAGGGAAGCCTGTGTGACGGTTAGGATGGGGTCAAAGCAGTTGCTGTAATGCAAATACACCAGTATAGAAATAGTATAGAAATAACAAAAGCACACACACGCACATCTCCCCGTGGCTCCAGAAGTGCTGGAGTCAGTCCATCCATTCACTGGGGAATGTCACTGCAACAGCAAAAACAGCCAGAGCAGCGGTTACATCCCCATGCATGGAAATTCTCCTCATGTATGCAGAGCCTGGTGTGAATACCAAGAAGGGACTTGGTATTCTGGTAGCAATTATCAGTTGTCAACATCCAACTCAATTTTAATGCATTCCAATGCTAAGCGAAAACAACAAATTATAACAGCATTAATACATTTTTCCTTTACCAAACTATGGAAACACTCCACTACAGGTACAAGTCCTGCATTCAAGACCTCATCAGCAACATGTACTTAAAGGGACAGTTTTGATGTGGGGTTTTATGAGGTGTCAGTGTAGTAGTTAAGTAATGTACTGCTGTGGAGGGGTCAGCAGCAAAATGTATTTAGTTTAAGTGTATGCTAGAATTTGTTTTGTTTTTTTACCGCATTACCTTGCTGTCAGACCGTGATTGCCAACGGGGAACTGAAGCCATTATATCACTCTCTTCAAGGCCAGACTCCACTGATAAAAACTGTTATTTAAAGCGGGATTTATGCTGTACCCTGCGCCATGGTCCTAGAAATGTAACTACACGCTGCCACAGACCTCCTGTCTGTTTCTGTAAGCTGAAACCATTTCCCTCAAACAAAGCTTTTATTTACTTTAATTTCACAGATAAGAAACAATAAACTGTGAAGACAATTAAGCCTCCACAAAAATAGCATTTTAAGTCTTGTGTGTGATTTATCCTGGCCTCATATGAGCAGAGGAAATCTCTGCTAGCCACTAGGCTAATTTATACAATGTAAAATGCCATAGGCTTGGGCTAATAACGTTAGCATGTTGTATTTGTTTGGAAAACGTGTTTAGTATAAGACAGTTGTTTTGTCAGTGAACCTTGTGAGTTGTAATGGAGCCGAATTTTGTAACGTTATCTTTGTTAAATGTTGCTGTTGTCCATGGTTTCATATGAGAAGAATAAAGATCGCTAGCTGCTAGGCTAATTTATACAATGTAAAATGCCATAGGCTTGTGCTAATAATGTTATCATGTATTTGTGGGGAAAATGTGTCCAGATAAAGACTAGTGTTTGTCTGTGAATGCTGCGAGTTATAGTGAAGCTGATTTGTGTACTTGTGTTTGAAATGGTCTCTATAGAGTGTGCCAGTAAACCCGGAACTCCGTTAGCACTTTTAGCACTTCCGGTTCTCTTGTCTAAAAGTCAATATGTTTTTTGAATGGGATTTTGGTAAAATGCCTCAAATAAGGTCTGTGGTTAACAAAAGCTTAAGCGAGTTTCAGGTTTTGTTCTACGACATAAAACACGTCAGTAAATACCCTACTTGTGAATTTTGAAGCTTTTACATGTCGTAAAAAAGGCGGTTGCTAACAAGTTGCTCAATACAACTACAAACCCTGTTGGGGACATTAAACGTCATCACTTCTGGCTATCGCATTTAAGCTTCAAATGCGGTATGAAAGGTGTTCATATGTGAAGATTATCTCGCTGAACAAAACCTGTAAGTATCATAAACTTGTGTTAGCCACGGAGCTTATTTTCTGACATAATCCAAAATGCAATGCAAAAATCACATTCACTTTCTCTTTCGGGAACCAGCGCTATGCTAAACTTCCGGGTTTTGACGTCAGCCCTGGCACACTCTATTAAGCCATGTTTAATGTATGTTTAATGTGTGTTTTGAATCAACTAGACTTTACAGCACTTCACAGAAACTCCGCTGCCATCTAATGTTTTGGAGGCGTAATTGCAGACACAGACACACCACTGCACAAGTAAAAACACTCACAACAGCAATGGAAAATCTGCAAATAGCTGATCCACACGTAAAATCCTCCTCAAGATAGCAGAACACAGGAGCTGCTGGTCCACTGCTGCTTGACCAGTTAGTTTGCTTGTGTAATTGTGAGATTCATGCATTTATAAATTCACCAACAACACACAATAACACAAACTAACTGATCGAGGCAGCTGCAGGCAAGTAACTCCCGTGTTAAGCGACGTAAAATTACTGTTTTGGTCAATGGAGTCTGGTGGCTTTGACCAGAGCACAGATTGGGAGTTCCCCATCAGAAAGTGTTGAAAATATCCACACTAAAGCCTATACTTACACTGTTGTTGATTTTTTTAGTAGCGAAAATATGTTTTGCTATGGATTAGTACCTCATACAACCCCACAGCAAAAAATCCAGACTATTCTTTTAAAGAATGAAAAGTTAAAGTACTCATTCTGCAGTCAAACGTTCCCTGTCAGTGTTTTACTATTCTGGTGTTTTACTATTCTGTTGCATTAATACTGCAGCATTAATGTGAATGTTTTACTGCTGTAGATATTTAAGGAAGTACTGATTTTAACTCTTTATATACTGTTGCGTAGTTTAATCTACAGCAATGCATCATATTCTATAAGATCATCATATGTTTGCAACATTGCTAGCTGCTAGGCTAATTTATGCAATGTAAAATGTCATAGGCTTATGCTAATAACATTAGCATGTTGTATGTGTGGGAAAAATACATCCAGCAAAAGGCAAGTGTTTTGTCTGTGAGTGGAATTTTGTACTTGTGTTTAATATTGTGGCTATATGTTTCATTTGTGTTTTATGTGTTTTGAATGAAACTTCAATCAATCAAACTGCACAAGTATTAATGCTCACAAACGCGTAGACTATAAATCCGAAGAGACACTGCTGCAGATTTTGTTTTGCAGTTTTTTTTCTGGCTTTGAGCACCACAAGCTGAGTGCCATCTAGCTTCATTATACTGGAGAGAATGCAGAAATCTCTACGGCCGAGATCTCCAACACTCTGCAACTCACACCAAAACAATCCAGACTGATAAATAGCACTACAGGTAAGAGGAAAAACATGTATTTTTGATTTTGGGGTGAACTTTTTGGTCTACAAGCTCAACAATTGCAAACACATGCACACTGTGATACGCTGAAGTAGAAATCAAAAGGTGTGATTTCAGGAGAGGATGGAGGGCGGAGAGGGAGGAAAAGCCGCACTTCAGTGGTGAAATCCAGAGAACAAAAGCGTTGAGGGGGAAATGATGGTGTTTTATTTTAGACTGTGATGAGAGACATGTTTAAGGGCCACTCCATGCCTGGAAATAAACACAAACACCTACTCATCGAGGTGTTCGGCTCAAAGCATGCAGGAGGGGAGAAAAAAAAAGTTATAATTGCCCAAAACATTTCCTGCCAAGCTCTGACATTCCCCTTGTTGATAAACATCCACTGTTTCCTACAGCCTCTTTCCACCAGAGTAACTCACATTTACAGGCAGAATTATAGGAATATAAAATTCATACAGTTCTCTCCCTGTTAATATAACTTTCCAGTAGTTTCTAGTAGTCGTAAAGTTTTCTGCGATGAAGTGGAATAAAATACAACTTGGCAAACAAGGCCTCCGTGGGTTTCTGCTGTGGAAACATTAAGAGAGGATGGAGTCTGGAAAGAGACCGCCAAGAGAGAAGTATTACAGGAAATGAGAAGGTAAAGGTGGGAAACGAGCTCGCGCGCTGTTTCTCAGCAGCTCGGCTTCTCATTCACTCACACAGCACATGTCCACGCCTGGGAGCAGCTCAATACACTCCGTAATAAGCAATAGAGGAGAAGACAAGGTATTGCTGGGGCGCTCAAATGGCTTTTGCAGGCAAAACTATATTTCATGAATCTGTGAGGGCTCCAGAGTAACTACCTGTAACTTCAGCTCAATCACCAGAGGAAAATGGTGTCATTGTAGGTTTCTGCAAACTATAAAGATGTTGCATTCGTATGTGTCATATGTATCATATCAATGTTTCTAAAGTGACATAGTATATGAGCTGACTTTGTCATCTGGAGGTGGAGGGGGTGATGGTTTGTGTGACACCTGTAAGACGCCTGCCAAGCTGCAGAGTTCAGTTCAAGACCATCCAACAACAAAACCAGTTGTGTTTTAGCAACCCATCTGTTTTGTTGGGGGGGTTTAAACGGCTGTTTAGCCACCAAATGTGAATGTTTTTTACAGAGACATCTCTGCGTTTCCTGTCGGGATTGTGCCATAAAATAAGGTTGTTTTTTTTACCATGACATATCTAAATTTCCTGCTGAGATTGTGCCACAAAAAGCGGTTGTTTTATATAGCAACCCACCAAAACTGGGTTCTTTAAGCCCAAGCTTTGATCTTGTCCTAACCATGACTGAGTGGTTTTTGAGGCGTAAACATAACCACATATTAACCACAGCGTTTCTGAGGCTATGGCACAGGCTGTAGTTGAAACATCGACTACGCTACATAATGACGTACAAATGTGACATATCCGTGGTTTGCAGAAAAGTACAATACCAACACCCTTTTTCTGCTGATTGGATTAGTAACTTTTTTTTTTTTTGGACACACATTTTCTTTCTATATTTTCGTTTGCTTACCTTGGCCAACGTGGCTCAGGTGAGGGTCTAGACTGGGCGAGCGGGGGTCTGCCAAGTCCTCGCTCCCACCATCTGCAGAGGAGGAGCAGAAAGAGAAAGATAAGGAGTGAGCTCTGTGATGCTGGTAGCGTGGTGAGGAGGCCAGCAGCAGGGCCACCTCCTCGTCTCCGATCAGCCAGGTGTGGGACCGGAGGACCCCCAGCAAGCTGCTCACACACAGCCCCTCCACGCCTTTCCTTGTGGGGCGCAAGTGGCCCCTTATGGTGGTGAACGGGGACCGCGCCGCCAAGCTCCACGTCTTCCGCCTCCCCATGTTTAGACTAAACAGCCAGTGAGCCTCTGTCTTTGAGGCCTGCCCGTGCAGATAACAAAATAGTTTACATTACAGCCACTGTTGCGTGCAGAGATTCCTGTGTGTGTTGAGGCACAATCATAGAGCTCACTGGGCTCTACGGTTCAGTGAGTGAGGACTGGCTGTAAAACAGTGGGCGTTTCCCAGGATAGATCCACATACGGTTAATGATATGAGGATCAATTACGCCCAAGGGAGCAGGCAGGCAGAATTAGCCACAGTGGATGGAGCTGAAATGAGGGGGGTGGAGGGGCGGCATCACTGGGCAGCACAGTCAGTGTCACGGGGGGATTGTTTCATAATCCTGTTCAAGTGTGGATGGATCTACTGTAAAGCACGACAGGCCAGCAGAGGAGGTTTGGAACAAATGATTTATACTCAGAATAAATACATCCCACTGGAACTAAGTGCGCTATTAATACAATCCATGATGATGCATGAAAACTAGTGAGAGGATTTTCGACGTGTAGATGGACCAAAGATTGCTGCATTAAGTAGAAAACCATGAAGGTGTTTTATCCCAAAAGGATTGTATATTTTGGCAGGACTCCCCCTCCCATTGTGTTTCAATCACAGAGCTCACCATCAGCCAGAAAACACAAACAAATACTCAAGTATTATCTCTCCCATCGCGGATTCACACCCTGTGTGCCAGCGGCCACACAGCGGGCTAGATTGGCTCGCTGGTGGATGGATCAAGCTTGTCGATGGACAGATAGAATAAGCCGTGGGACATGATTGTGTGAGAACTGGGCCAGCCTGAGATTGACACTGATTGTGGACGGGAGCCCTCTGCGGAGGATTTACAGGGTTCGCGTCATGACCTCAGCCACCATGTCGGGAGATGTCAAATTAACAGGCACACCAACAAAATGTGAAATGTTATGCAACTACAACATAAAATTCACCAACACAACCTTTTTATTTTTGCTGTTTACAGACAAAACCAGAGATCCTGCTGCCGACACATCCATCTCTCATGTTCTACATCAAAAATAGCTTCTCACCTCGTATACCTGATGGGCCACATCGTCTCGTAAAATCAATGTCGTGAAAATCAATGCAGGCTTTGAAGATGACGCACTCTAGCTACAGGCACAGTGAGCCATGAAAACACATGCATGCAAACACACATGATGAGTGTGATGCTCGGTGATGTAGTGTAATAGATTTCGCACACTTCCTCTGCTCCTGCGGCAGATCTGATTAGCACCTCAGGTGACGTTCTGAGCAGCTTGCTCGTCATCAGATGAGGTCAGTAGCTCAACATGTCACATGTGAAGTGTTAATGATAAATCAAATGAACAGGAGACAATAAAGGTGTACAATTACAGTACGTAGAATAGATATAATTATTGGGCCTCATCTTCCTCAGCTGTGTCTATGTTTTTTGTTATCAATTGATGCTAGTGTTAGCTGTCTGAATTTTTGTTAGTTGCTAACACAGGAGTCCAAAGTGTGTCTGCTCTCCCTGGGACAGTTTGGACTGTATCGTTTATAGTTCCTACCTTGTTACAGATCAAGTAGACAAGAGTGAATTTTAAAACTAAGACTGCTAAGCTAAATCAATATTTTAATTTAATTTTTTTTTAAATGAGCTTTAGCTTATATCCCGCGGCCTCTGGGTTTATGTTCACCCAAACATGTAGGTGGATTTAGTGGCATCTAGCAGTGAGGATTGCAGATTGCTGAAGCTGAAACTTCTCACATGTGCCAAGCATGAACTCCCAGTTAGGATTCCTTCAGTGTTTATTGTTCAGGAGGTTTTTACCAGGAGCCGAATTACCCGCAGAGGTCTCTTCCTCTCCAAAACAAACACACCCAGTGATTAAACTGGTAAAAACACTGAATAAAGCAGTTTTACCTTTAAAAAAAGAATGGTTGTTTTGGCGCTCTCGTCTCCGTCAATGAGTTCCCACTCCCTATGTAGATACAAACAGCTCATTCTAAGGTAACAAAAATCACAATGATTTTTATTTTCAGGTGATTATACACCAAATAAAACATACCTATTATATTAAATTTCTGCCAGTATATCCCACTAAATCCTGCACACTGGATCTTCACAAGATTTTGACCGCTAAGCTGAATTTATAGGCCACTGAAAAAAGGGCTCACATTTTAACTCCCGAGCACGTTTTTAATGCGACGACTGCAACTCTTAATTTTCTCTCTAGGTTTTTTTTAACCCGTAACAAGGTGCCCCAACCGTCCCAGAGAGGCTGAATTTTGGAGAAAATGTACTCCTTGTACATTTAACAAAATTGTGCCTTTCATGTTTGGGTAGGGCTCTAAATAATAAAATAATCATAAAATAATTTGTCAGCAGACATTAGGGGTGAGAATCACTAGAGGATCCATGATACGATATTATCATGATACTTAAGTCACAATACAGTGCTAATATGTTGTGAAATGCTGAGTATTGTGTTACAATATACTGCAATATTTGACCTGTTTTCATCTGTAAATTATAGGGGTGGGGAAAAATTGATTTTTTAGATGCATCGAGATTCTGCATCGATGTGGAAAACTCATAATCGATTTTAATTTTATTTTTAAATCTATTTTTCAAATTACCGTAACTCCTCAACCATTCACACTATCGACGTAATTCCAACGGATTCTGAAAGCAGAGAAGCGGAGCTTTCCAGTGATATACATCACAGTACATTACGGTAGTGACGTCATTACCTGTGGAGGAGGGGAGGGAAGTGAGCACAGCAGGAGGAGAGTGACAGCTGACGAGGAGAGTGCAAGTTGGAGTTAATTAGCGGAGTTTTAGTGGAGTTTTGGAGGCGTTTTCTTTGTTAATAATATTTAGTGTTGTAAATAACAGTATTTGTGGTTTTTTGAGAGCTGTTTTTTTTTGCCGTGTTTTCGTCGTGTTTTTACCATAGTTCGTAGTTTTGCCATCATTCGTCTTTTTTGCAATAGTACGTGTTTTTATAGTTCATAGATAGTTATAGTCAGTTACAGTTTTGTAAATACTGGAGGAGAAATGTTGAGGAGGTCGACGAGGGACAGGAGAGTCCCGTTGAGATTTATGGATGAGGAGGATGGACCGGAGGAGACTGGTGGAGGGTAGTCATCTCAACCACAGTAAGTAATACAGTTTGTATGCACTGGATATGTATTCCTAGCTTTATTACAATAATGTTTTTCAATATCTACTGTGAATTTTCTTATTGGCTTGTTTTAGAATCGAGAATCGTTGCCCTCAGAATTGGAATTGAATTGAATCGTGAGGTGCATAGAGATTCCCACCTCTAGTAAATTATGTCCCCAGAGGAAAAATTCTTCAACATCAGTTTTATCTAGTAAGATAAAGTTTTCAGTTTGTTCATCTCACCTCAGCCTTTTTTGCAGCAGCAGCAAAATGTATCTAGTGGGTTAAAAAGCAATTAATTAAATTATTCTAGTATTATTCTAGGCTACCTAAAGTTTAATTTGTATTTGTCATATTAAGAACTTGTATCATAATAACAATAATCACGAAACTATGCTGTATCAATTTTCCTCCGCTCCTAGCAGACATCTGTTACCTGTTCGGGGATCAAATCATTTTCATAATTCAAGATAGTCTTTTAACAGTCTCACAACTGGGAAATTTGCATCATTACAGCAGCGAAGGAGAAAAAAAGCAAGAGATAATAAATGGACAGGCTGAATTGCACATAGGGTCCATAATTGTTAAAGTAGTCTGTGAGTAATGGAAGATTATCTTGTGTCAATACAAAAGTGTCCCAGCCGACCCCATTCTTCCCCACTGTATTACAGAAATTAATAAATAAATGTAAAAACAACTAAAGAAATAGCCGCAGGCTTTGCTGGAAATGAAACAACTTTTATTCAGGTTCACTTAGATTCTACCCACTACATGACACTTCTACGTTAAACCCTCAATTTGACTAAATATTGTTATTGAGGTTTTTGGAAAAATTCCACACAGCACCACTGTGGCTTTACCTCTTTACGTCAGCCTCCTTTCTCCCCACTACCATCCCTGTTTAGTCTTGGCAAACACATCTTCGTAGCTCTTTTATTTGAAAGCGAAAGCTCCTATTCTTGTGTGCAGATTGCTCTCTTGTAACCAGTGATCACAGCACAATGTCCTGCCACACAGATCAATGGCCTATTAAGCAGGGAACATGAAAGGGGAGGACCTACGGCTGACAGAAGACAGAGACATGTTTTCTTTCCAGCCGCAGAGACAAACAGCGGACATTATTCTAGTTCCTTACAGAACATCTGTCAACCACTCGGTCAACAAGAATACAACTGAACTCGGCTCAGTGTCCGATACAAAGTCAGAACAGACAATCTGTGCTCTGTAACCACATCCTATTCAGCTGTAAAATCAAAGCTCTGCTCTCTCTGAAGCTAAAAGACCATCTCCTAAACCGAAGAAATAATGGTGCACTTACTCTGTTGGCTATTCTTCTGAGCTGTAATACCACGGTGCTGTGTTAGGATGTCAAAAGAGCAAGCCAATTTCGCACTTGGACAAAGAGTCATTACGGGAGAAGTCAGCGTGACATCTGAGAGTGATCCCATGGAGCATGGCGGAGAAACTCTACTATCATTATCGTTCAGACTGACTTTGATGAACCTGGCGGTGTTCATAGTGTTCAATGTGACCTCTGCTCTGAAATGAGGCTTCTTTCCCAGGTACTGTCGCGGGGTGATTACTATAAATTGTGCTCTTTTGTGTGATCAC